TGCTGTCCTTTCGTTCTTCAGTCTAGTTGTGGAGGATGGTGCTTCACTGGCCCAAGTTGGCACCATCATTGCGCTCTTCCCGGGCGAGGCAGATCAGTTGCGGCTTCTGGACGCCGCTCACTGCGGCTGCTAGTCGCTCAAGCTGGCTGCTGGCTACACATGGTAGCTTACGGCAACCCACTGCAGCTGGGACTGCAGCCTACGCTGTCGCCGGCGACTCACGGCAGCCCAGCTCCAGGTTGAGCTGTTGTTCAGCATCTTAGCTGTGGAGGGCAGTGTCACTGGCCCTCATATGTGGGATCCGAACCGGGGCCCTCTGGCGTCCCAAGCCAGCTCTTAACCAATGCGCCACTCAGCTGGCCCAATATACCTCTTTTTTTATAGAAAAATGATTATACTGCTATTATGGTTATTTCCACTTTGGACGTGATTACTGATTTATTACCAGTGAACATTGATTGCGGTTAGTGTTTTTACAGCCACAACTCAACACACAGACACTCTCCCCACCCTCCCAGTGGAGTTTTGGCCTTTGTTTCGAATCAGTATTCTACTCAATTAAGATCACAGATGTTACTCACAGGTGAGGTGTATGTTGGTCCATGACTACATTCTCTTTCCTAGTTCCTAGAAAATGACAACTAACCGGTGTTTTCCACGGATGTGTGCCCATGTCACCCCCAAATTTTGACAGCAATGAAAACCCTGTGGTGTGGTCAAATGAGCCCAAAGCTCCGGCTTCCTTTCCCACGGCTTCCTCCTTGAGCCCACCCCTCCTGACATGCGCCCTGTGGGTCTCGCACAGTCTAGATGAGGACTTTCCTTCACTTCCATCAGTCCCTGTGAGCAGCCGCACCGTGTCCCAAGGGCCCTGTAATGGCACGTGGGCTGTCCTGACGAGAGTCCCTGGGCAGTCACAGGTGTGGACAGCAGCTTTACGCATGGTCGCCAACGCTTGGGAGCAACCAGGGTGTCCCTCATTAGGTGATGGACAGACACACTGTGGTCCATCCTGACAGCTGGATTATTACTCAGCACTAAAAAGAAATGAGCTCTCAAGCCATGAAAAGACGTGGAAGAACTTAAACGCATATTACTAGGTGACAGAAGCCAATCTGAAAACGCTACCTACTGTACGATTCCAGCTATGTGAAAAATGGAAAGCACAAAACTAGACAGTAAATAAAAAACAAAGAGGAGAAAACACTGTTCTAGAAAATCTTTGAAAGGGAATGAAAAAATCTAGAACGATAAAGAGAAAACGGAAGGAAGAAAGGAAAGGGGAAGAGAGGAGGAAAGAAAGAACCAGCGGAAGTGAGTCACTCATAAGGGTTTAGATGGATCTCAACCGCAGATGACAGCAGAGCGACGTCTGCAAGTCCCGAGGGGGCACTGTGCACAAGCATTCCACACCAGACGTTACCCAGACGCAAACATTTACGAAGTCCACATCTACGAATCCTTTCTGAAAAAAATTAATGGACGCTCTCCAGGAAGCAGGGCCACCAGGAGGGCTTGGACGCGCCCCGGCTTTCTCCTGAACCCCAACGTGTCATGCCTGCTGGCCTCCAGAACTGGCGGTGACCCCAGGGGGCTGCCCCCTCTATGCTCTGATTTAATCCAAGGACAGATGTAGGCCAAGGAACCTTCAGAAAGTCCTGCACCTTCTTGATGCTAGAGAGGGGCTTCACGGTTGATATGTGGGCCAGCCCTGGGCAGCGACCTTGGCCAGCATGGGAGCCCAAACAAGGTGGTTTTCTAGAAGTGCTGGGCTGCCTGGAGGCCTCCCCAGTGGCAAAGGGGAGGCAGGGGCTTGAGTGGATTTTGCTGGGTCAAGACTTGGGGCTGGGGGTGGGACGGAGCAGCCCTTCCTGGAGTAGATAACACCCAGGCCTTTGAGGGTTAGATGGAGACAAAAGAACCATCCATATTAGGAAGAAGAGGCTGATCTCGTCATTTGGCCACTTGGCCTCTCCCAGTCCAGCCTCTTCTCGGGATTCTGTTTCAATTACTGACCTAAAACATATACAGAGCCCCACACCTGGCTTCTCTCCCTAGACCGGTGGTTTTCACCTTGGTGGGGTTGAATCACCTGGAGAGTTTTGGCAACACTGGTGCCCAGGACCCACTGAAGAGACTGATTTCATTGGTTGAGCACCTCGTCTTACAACCCAAGCTGTCTCCAGCTGAAGGGCACCTTCTTCAACACACCTCGCGCTCCCCCAGCTGCCGCCAGAGGACACATTGCTCACCTGATGTGGCTGGCTGTTGACACACCTGGTCTCCCCTGCAGGTGAGGGGCAGCCACCTTACCTGGCTGCCCAGCCAGGTAAATGAAATAGCATCTTTTGCTTGTGTAGGAATAAATGCTCATCACACACACACACACAAATTAATGGATACTAAAATTGTCCTGTAAATCAAGGAAAGAAAATAAAGAAAAAGCAGTGGGTACAGGACGGGGGTGAGCGATGATCATTCATTACAGATCAAAACTGACCAGTTGTGTAAATGACAGAACAAAATGTATGTGTTATAAATTGTGATGATAATTCTAGAAGAAAATTTGGTAGGTGGGAGAAAGAAGAATGTGAGATAATTTTGTCACGTTTCATAGCAGGGAGTCCACAGCTATGGACTAACACAGAAAAGGATAATTTTTTAAAATCAACATTACTCCAGTCTCAACATTTTCGTAATCGTTTTTCTTAATTTTATAGGAATATTTTATGAACTAACACTTCTTGTAACAAAAAACATTTATCCAAAGTGCAGCACTGTCTTCGGTTTCCCTGCAATCTCTCTCTCCTGTTAGATTTAGGAAATTACATTATATACTGTGGATTAAAGGAGCGATGCGTCGTTGTCCTGATGGACGCACCCCCCCCCTTACACTGTTTACCAAATGTTAGCGATTGTTGCTTCTAGGTGGGGATAATTTAAAATACTTTCTTTTAAAAATGTGATGTCTTGGGCCGGCCGAGTGGCGCGATGGTTAAGAGCTGGCTTGGGACGCCAGACGTCCCTGGTTCGGATCCCACATATGAGGGCCAGTGACACTGCCCTCCACAGCTAAGATGCTGAATAACGGCTCAACCTGGAGCTGGGCTGCCCATGAGTCGCCAGCGATGGCGTAGGCTGCAGCCCCTGCTGCGGTGGGTTGCCATGGGCTACCGTGTGTAGCCAGCAGACAGCGTGAGCAGCCAGCAGCCGCCGTGAGCAGCCGTCCAGAAGCCGGCGACTGATCTGCCTCGCCCAGGAAGAGCGCAATGATGGTGCCAACTTGGGCCAGTGAAGCAACATTCTCCACAACTAGACTGAAGAACAAAAGGACAGCAACTTGTCTGTTCCCCTTCCCCCAATTCCCCAGCACTGTTCCCATCCCCCAGTTCCCCAATAAAATCTTTTTAAAAAAAAGTGATGTCTTTATTGTTTGAAATATTTACAATATACAAAATTACAAATGATATCAAGTCATTATCTCTTAAAAAGGGGGGGGCGAGCTCTGGGGAGGTAAGGCAAAGGGGAGGAGAGGAGAGTGAGAGAAGGTTCTAGTTCAAGGAAACAGCGACGAAGGCATAGCCTGAGGCAGAGCGGCTGGCACACACCGAGCCCCTGGGTGGCCACTCTGCCCTCCACCCGCCACTGACTCTGGACCGGCCACTGACCCCGACTGACCAATGACCCCTGACCAGGTCTCTAGCACCTCAGTCTAGCCCCACGTTCTGCGCCACGCGATGACTTCGCCAGAGCCTCGTTCTGTCTGGCAGTCTGTATACAACACTCACATGGCCTCATGCAGGAGCTCAGCCTCTCGCCTCTTTTCAATCTGGAATTCGTTCTGCAATTAGTGCAGGACTGGGGACGGTCGGATGCAAAATCCCTGTAGAGATTTCCTTCCCGCGGCTGCCATCGGCTGCTGCAGCACCCAAGCGCGCCTCTCTCCAGGATCCGTGCTCCTGTGTGCACTCTCGGGGACGGCCAGCCCGTCACATTTCCTCCCCAACTCCATCTCCTACGATTCCTTCCCTGTTCTCAGGTTTCTTTGTTGCCTCAGGGCCTTTGCACGTGCTGGTCCTCGCTGACCTAGGCACAGCTCATCCTCACTTGCTCAGGGGTCTGCTCACAGGTTGCTTCATCAGAAAAGCTGTTTCTTAATATCCTCACTAAAATCAGCATTTTTGTTCGTCTTTCTACTTTCCCCGGCTTCATTTTTCTCCTTAGCACTGAACAATAGATCTGTCCCTCACATGCCTCCATGAGAATGCCGGCTGCGAGACAGCAGGGCTCGCAGAGCCCTGGTCAGCCACCACCGACTCCGGAGCCAGTCCCGGGCGTCATCCTTACACCTCAACTACCACAACCGAGGGTCGTCACTGAACACTCAGCAGGCCATCAGATAAGAGTGAGCCTTGAGGCCCATGGAGTGCCGAGTTCAGTGTCCTCTTTCTGTTCGATTTCAGCACTTTTCTGAATCAGGAGAGTTTTAAAGACAAAGGTCCACCTGTTGTACTGTGGTCACTGTGCTCTTCACGCCCCAGTGAAGAGAGCGCCAACTTCCCCAGGACGTCCTTGGAGAAGCAGCGACTGACCCGTCTGTTGCAATCCACACCTGCGATGCCCGTGTGACCTGGGCGGTGCCCAGACCCTGAGTTTGTGCCCCTCTGTCCCAGAACGCCACTTCGACTTGAAGGAAAGACAAACTGTCTTTTTGGGTTTGGGTGTGTGGCAGACGCTTCCTTGCAAACAAACTGAGACTGTCAATGCACGGAGAAACGCCCAGTGTTTGCTGCCACTCCTAAAATCTGGGTTTGCACACTATGCTTCCAATATTCCAAGAACCTTCTGATGAGTGTTGGGGAGGTCACCGGTGGGCTCTGGTGCTGAAGATGAACTGTGTCGACGTGCGGAAAGTCACACCCGGGCACAGGACAGAGCACTGGGTTTTAATAAGCCAAAAGTTCCTTGATACGGTTTCAGGTTACACAGTGCAACCAATCTTTTCCTTTTCAAAATAACTTTTATTTTGAAATAGGTGAAATCTCACAAGAGGTTTAGAAAATGGTACAGAGTTCCACGTGCCACCCCCAGCCTCCCACAGTGACATCTTACAGGACTTGTCCTGGAGCGGGTGACGACGCGGGCACAGCCCTCATGCCGGGTGGCCTCAGCAGGCTCTCACCTGTCATACACGCACTCACTTCTTTTTCCTCCAACTAACCTTTTAGAAACTATCGTTGGTTGAGTTTTAGTGCAGCGTCAGAAGAGAACACCCACAAGGATCAGGAAGAGGACATAACCTTCCCTGTTCCAGCTACATCCTGAGTGACCGCGTCCCCTGAACACAGATACCTGACTGAACGTGGAACTCACCCTTCTTTAAACCTCAACAGTAAGTAGATTTGCAAAACTGTAAAATAATGTCCTTCTTTTTGCAAAATATTTTTTGTTTTGGAAAATATATTTTTCTTAAAAATATGTTCTAGTAACATGGAATGGGTTTCTATCTTTATTTTTAAATTAATCTTTTTTTTAAAATGTCTTAGTTTTGATTCCAAATGCCATTAATGCTGACAGATGTAACCCATGTAAACCAAAGCTCCTTGGGACCCCAGTGGGTTCCAGGTGGTGAAGGGCCCAAGCTCTGCAGGACAAGCCTTGTGCAGATGAGCCACCCCCCCAGGGCTCCCGAGCTCTCTCGAGGTCACACACACGACAAACCTGCGACCTTCCTATGCGTCACTTCATCTGGGTCAAATCATAACTTATCCAGAGGAAAATGAAAGTTCAGAGGTTTCTGTAGTGATTGTCAGCGGGCGACTATGGTTCATATGTTCAAACTAAGCGCTTTAAAGTGACCTGTTAGTAGCCCACCTACTGTTTAGTCTAAATTCAAGTACAGTAGTCAAAGACATTGAAAGTATCCATCAATATTGTAGAATTCGTGTTTCTTTAGAATCATCTTTCATTTAACCACATTTTTATAGTCAAATCCACGAAGTGAATAGTAGCCTTTGCACATCTTACGTTTCGTGTCTCAATGGCCTCGTCTAAGGCTTTCTGTGGGTCTGATCCATGGCCGTGAAGAGAACACAGACAGCAGCTGTCACAAGCAGATGCGTTCCCTCATAGAGGAGTTTTGGGGAGAACACACTCCATATAAATAAATGATAGCGCAGGGATGTCACCAAAATGATATATGCGCAAGCTGGGAGGGAACAAACCAGTGCGTAGCAGAAGCAAGCGCGACTCAGGGCTGACCTGCTGATAATGGAAAGGAAGCATCATTAGTCTCGGCACTCTCACCACGTGGCAACCGAGCCTCCCGGAGAGGCTCACCGGGGAACTCGCTCCCGGCCCCTCCCTGTCTGGATCTGGTCAGCGTGGTGGGCGGAGTCTGTTTCTGAGGGGCACTGGGGTGCCTGAGGGGACAAGAGTGGCAGGCAGGCTCCTCGTCCCTCTGGTGCCACCGCGGTGGGTGAGTATGTTTGAAAAACGCACCCCAAGTTCTGCGTAGACATCTAACTAAAGCTATGTGCGTGTGCTACTGTGTGGATATGTTGTGAGATGTTCACGATGAAAAGGAAAACCACGCAGGTATGAGACACATCAGAGCCCTTCTTTGCACGGCCCGTGGAGCGCCTGCTGACTGGGTCTGGGGGCGCTGGCCTGAGAGTGCGAGCTGAGCAAACTGGCCGTGCAGACAAGCGTGTGAAAGAGGAACGCGCCCTCAGGCACACGGATGTTCTCCCTTTGCTCTCAAACCATCAACACCATCACCACATAAATCTAACCTGCTCTTTAAGGCAGCTTCTGAGCTTATTTCAAAATGACAAGTCCCATCGTCAGGGCACCTTTCCCTCCTCAGCTAACCCACAAATCCTAGGGGATCAGGCTTTCCGGGTTCTGATCCTAACCCCTCCCAGCAAACACCCCACAAGTGACTGGGTGGCTCCTCGGTGGCCAGCGCAGCCACATCACTGCTGCCTGCCCCCCCCCCAGTACAGCAGTCAGCAGTGGTGTGCCCAACGACGGTGACCCGGGAGGATGGGGTGCAGACAGGAAGCGGGGACAGCTCCTGGGGTGGCCAGTTTGCGCGCTGGGGGTGTTGGGGGCACCATGGGCACGCAGGAAGGCTGTGGACAGGAAGCGTGAGCCCCACAAAGCGGCTGCTCAGGCCCGCGGACCGGCCCCCCCTGGTGCCAGGTCCCAGGTGCCTTCCGCCCAGTGATAAAAGCTGACGACACTTTAAGAGAACTTACGGGGGTGGGAGGCCTGTGGATGGAGCTGGGCTTCCTGTTACTCTGTAGGCCTGACTCCTGTTAAAACGCTAGGGTTCTAACTTCCTGTGGGGGGGGGCAGGGGGGGCGGGCAGATCCATGAGGGTCTCTCAGGAGGGGAGTGGAACACGGCATGCCTTCTCACACTGCTGGGGTGGGTTTGTTTTTCCTTTTTTCAGTAAACCCTCCTCTTGGCGGACTACCGGGAAAATTACTGTGTCCAGTCGACACCAGCCAGGGTGCCCATGGCTCTCAGGCTCTCACGTCACAGACCCTGCCGGTGCCCTGACACGTCCTGGCCATAATGGCTCCCCACCATCCTCTGCTCCCTTCCTCTCACATGCATCACGTGGCCTCGGCCCCTCTACCTGCCCCCCCACCCCCATTTTGATCGCCCTGCTTTGGGGATGCAGGGACGCTCTCTGACCCAGGTACTCGGCCACCTGGCTCTGCCCTGCAATGGCCTTGGCTTGCAGCTGGTTCATTTCGCCGCTGCCCTCACCAGACCTTGAGCTCCTGGAGCGAGTCCTTATGCCTGCAGTGTGGATCCCACTTGGGATCGTCAGCGGACCCGCAGGGAGGTGGGCCCCGAGGCCTTGCCTGGTCACCTCCTGGGGCCATTGCACCAGCCTAAAGGAAAACTCAGGGAAAGCTTCATATTTGAACAGGCCTTGCCCCCAAGTCTGCTGCCCCTCTCCTGGAGATGGCCCAGGGTCTGTGCTCAGCCAGGAGCCTGCTGCCCCTGTACCCTTCTTGACCGGACAGTGAGGGTACGTGGCATTCCCAGGACACAGCCCTTCTTTGCATCTCGGTGTCACACATGGTGAACAGGTGCCTCCCATAGCGACACCCAGTGGGGTCACCACGCCTGCCACCTCCGCCAAGGGCGATCTGCCTTGAAGGGAATGACGAAGGCCTGCATGTGGACTGCGGCCACCATCCACCTGCCTGGCTCCAGGCCAGGGCCGCCCTGCAGCAGACGCCGCTGGAGGACCGGGGAGCCTCACCTGCCGGCTTCTGAGCTCAGGAAGTTCAGCAGGTGGCTGGCCCACAGCACAGGCCCCATGTATGTTGCAAACAGCGTCAGGAGGGCAGCTGGGAAGGCAACATACGTGCCCAGGCCCACGAAGCCCGCTGAGATGTCCACGGTGGCCATGTTGTTAGAGTTCCCCTGGAACACAGGGAGGGAAGGCGATAGCATGGCCACCAGTGACTGCAAAGATCCACTGGCAGCCACGCTCACGGAGGTATGGACGCACAGGAGCCCAGCCCCCACCCACTGCTTTCTGTCCCAGGCTGATGCTGGGCGAACTGTCCCTCCATCTGCCTACCGCCCTCCCGGGTGCAGAGCGGTTAAGGAATGTTTCTCATCTTTGAGAAAACGCACAACCTGTCTGCTCATGAACTGCACAAAGTCTGAGTCTCCCAGACCTGTCTGCGTAAGACAGACCGCCCCCCCCCACCCCGCCCCATGCACCCAGGGGCCCTGGCCCATGGCTGCATGTGATGCTGGAGGCAACACGGCCCAGTGGGCTCGTGCTACAGGCTGAAGGCTGGCGGGCCACTGGGAGGGCTTGGCCACTCGGTGCCCAGCTGAGTCAGACCGGAGAACCCGGCCCATCACCACCCAGCCTGGGCGAGCAGTTCCTGTCACACAGCTCGTCCTGCACATGAGGGCAGGGTTTGGGTGAAGGGGAGGGTCCCCTAACAGTCAGCCCCTCTCGCCACATCCCGTCCTTATGGATGCTGGTGGACGTCTTCTGATATTAGGGTGTTTACACACCTGACAGCACAAATGTCTGTCCCAGCCCAGCTACGGCCCCTCCCCAGAGCTGTTCAGCCCACGGCCCAGAACACAATTGCGGCTGGTGTTGACGACTTGAAATTCAAATGGCTGCATGTCATTCCAGGACGTCATGGGGCTGTGATGAGGAAACTCCCACACATCGTGGGGACACTCATCTGCTCCCATCGTCACCATCTGACCTGCCCTTGACCGTCAACTCCGCTGTGTGGCTTCCCCAGTCCTCTGCCCACGGCCACCTGGGTTGTCCCCGGTTAAGGTAATTCCTGTCGAGAAGCCCCTCCCTGGACACTGAGGAGACCCCAGAGCTGATGGAGGGGAGCACGAGCATTGGAACTGCTGGGGTGAGGGAAGCACAGTGGGGTGGAAAGGGGGTGACACCTGGCAGGTTACTGGAGACCCCCCAACTGCTCCCACCCCGCACTGTGCCTCGTCACTGCCCTACACGTCGTGGGGCCTGCTGTACAGGACCAGACCCGTGTAGATTTTACACGCTGGGCCCCCAGCACACCGGTGCCGCTGTGGGAACACTGGCCATCAGACACGTGTGCTTCTGCCGCCCAAGAGAAGCACAAGCATCACATGCACGGCCCCAACTTCATCCTCACAGAGGAGTAAACGCGACGTCACAGGCCGTCTGCTCACTCTGGGGGCCAACTGTGGCTCCGTGAGTCTCAGTGCTGGGCCGGGCTGCCTGGCCAGCTGCCTCGCTCAGGAGCTGGGGGCGCCTCCTGACCCTGCCAGCAGGCTCTCCTGTGTCAACAGTCCGAGAACAGAGGATGGATCTGCGACTCACCCAGAGTTGCCCCCCACAGAGCCGTGACTGGCCGCGTGGCCCCGGGCCAGGGGCACTCTGCACTTATCACACACAGTCACCCTCCGGCATGGCGCCGGCACAGCCTGGGGAAGGGGGGGGCGTGGCGATTTCCCGGGCTGACCATGCCCCACCCCCACCAGGCTCTCATGGTCAGAGTGAGTGATGGTCCTTAACAGACCACTGGAGGGGAGGCAGCCCCCAGACCGGGCCTGCACACAACTTACAGAGGAAGAGAGGAAGCTGAGGCTGGCACACGCCATTTGGAACTTTCCGAACTGCTCAGCCGACTTAGAAGTCCTGGACGACAGTGAGGCGCCACTGAGCAGCCCCATGCTGAAGGGTCCTGACACAGGTGGACGTAAACCGCGCTGAGAGGGGCCCACAGATCTGCCCCCCGCCCCGTGATGCCTGTGCTCGCGGCTGGCACCTTGGTTTCCTTCCCGTTCCCGGCTGGCGCTCTGGAGTGCTGGCAAGCTCTGCATTTCCCCACCCACGAGGCCCGCGACCTCCTAGGTTTCTCCCGACGGGTGTGAGAAAGCTGTGGCCTTTGAAACACCACAGAGACACACAAAGAGCTGGAATGTCGGGAGGCCCACCAGGGTCAGCCTGTACAGGCTGAGCCACCGGCACTTCTCGACCAGCGTTCTGGTCAACGGCACGTGGCCTCCATCACCCGGCACCTCCGGTGATGGCCAGCAACTCCTTGTCAGGCTGGGACTCCGAGTCTGTACAGACCCGCGCTGTGACCCCTCCACCCGGTCGAGGAACACTGTTGCCCTCTTGTGCCAGGCCAGTCGCTGTAACCCTCACGACAAACCAAGGAGGAAGGGGGCTGCCCATTACCCACCTCACACGAGGACGCTGACACTACGGCACAGCAGGCGCCCGCCAGAGGCCGCCTAGCTTAGCAGCGCTGGACACCAGTGCTGAGGACCGCGTGCCACCATCGCCCGAGCTGGGAGGGGCCAGGTCCAGGGCGAGCTCAGAGCCCCACACAGGGAGGCTGGCGTGGAGCCGGGTCCCTTGGAGCACAGGAGCTGGCCCCTCCACCCACCCGTCTAGGTGCCCGTCCAAGTCCGCAGGTGCACATTCAGATCTACCCCGGAGACAGCTTCAACTTGCCTCTGACGGACGGGCCCTTCGACACTGCAGGGATGTGACAACCACTGGGCCCCAGGTGGGTAATAACCAAATGGGGAGTCTCAAAAGCGCCAGTGCTGACAGCAGGGAGAGGGCGCGAGGCAGCAGAGTCAGCACCCTCATCAGACACAGCAACGGGGACGTGCCTCCACCGCTCACCGTATTGCACTGAATGAAACACGCACGGGATTTAAGCAGGACCCAGCCTTCCGTAATGACAGTTCTTTCACCAAACAAAACAACACTATAACTTTATAAGTTCGCAACTTACGGCAGGATATTCTCAAAGAAAATCTAAAAGGTAAATGACATATAAAAAGTTAATCGTCTTCTACCCATGGTAACTACGAAAACCTACCTGAAAATAGAAGAATGCTTGACCAAACCAGTAATGCATCACAGTGACATCTGTGGCCTCGTGCCTCAGGGGCTTCCAGATGAACTTGGCCATCACAGCCTGGACCGCGAGGCTGGACACTAGGACGGGAAGGTTGTGTGGCCTGGAGAGCAGCGCCGCCAGGAGGACGAGCCCGCTGTGTATCTCCCACAAACCCCCGGCCCTGACCCTGGAGGCAGCAGCAGTGACTTGAGATTTAAGCAGGTCTTTGGTGCCCGTGAACAGAATGCCGAGGACAAAGACGTAAACGAAACGAGCTTCAACAATACCCCTAAGATTAAAAAAAGCAAAACTCATTAGCCTCGTTAGCGTCACCTGGAAAGACCGAAACGCACACTTTCGCATGAAGAGCGAAACTAAACCAGACACAGCACCACCACCCAGGAACTCCGTGGGGGAAGAGGGGGTCGGCCTCTGCACGTCCGCCCCCGAGCCCCTGCCACAGCCCAAAAGGCCCATCCTCCTGATGGAGCCGGCGTTCAGGGGGTGTGCTCACCGACCGGCCCAAAGATCACGGCAGTGAGCCAGAAGCACCGCCCACCTTCACATGGAAAGCCACTGCCGCGGGTGCAGGTCCAGCTCCATCAGGAGCTTCCACAGTGCACAAACGCTAAGACACAACTGAGCACACTCACAACCAAGCACGGCACACACACGGTGCCGTCCAACCGGGGGGCCTGCACAGACACTAGCTCTGTCGCTGGGGGCGATTCAGCCAAGTGACGAGGCAGGGCACCTGCTGCTCACGGGCTGCCCTGGGAATCGAACGCGAGTACCCGCCATGAGCCTGGCACACAGTAGGTGGTCAGGGCTGTTAGGGTTAAGTCTCCCAGCTCTTCACTTATTGCTGCTATAAAGGACACAGTTACGACAGGAGGCCAAAGAATTTCATCTCACGAAACACGTACATCCCGAGAACATATTTTAAATAAATTTCATACATCAGATATGATATATAGACTAGAAAAACTGATCATTTAAAGTAATGCTAAGTCAATAAATTTCATAATGAAGTAATCAGCATAATAATATCCTTTGAAAGACTGAAGTTTCATATCTCGGATTTTCTGGGAAAGGTTTATGCATTTACAAAAGCCTTTTTCAGTGTCATCAGTTTAACTCAAACACTCGGAGCTCTGTCTGTTGCGTGCCAGGCCGCGGCCCGGACCTGCGTTAGGCAGATACTGACGGGCCCAGCAGGGTTACGGGAGGAGGACCCAGCAAAGCTGGCGCATCGGAGCGCTGCTGAGAGGAACGGGGTCTGATGTGGAGAACACCAGGAGAAGGGCCGCCGGTGCCTGGGCCAGTGCGGCTTGGTCCTCGGGGCAGCTGAGCTGGGGTCCGAGGAGGAGCGGGGGGGGGTGAGGGAGGACTCGAGATCATCGAAGGGCAGCAGCGCCCGGGAGGACAGAAGCTGTCAGGTGACCTGGAATCGGGAGTTTCAGGACCAGGGTGGGTCCAGATTCAGGACAGACGACCAGGTAGGGACAGAGCCTGTGAAGCCAGCAGTGCCGGCTCACGAAAGGGGTTACCGTCCTGTATTTTGGATACCAACATGGTACTGCCTCTGTGTCCGTGGAAGGTGAGGTGAGTGACCTGAGTTTCGAAGTGAGTGATGCTGAAGTTAGGTGCCTCCATCTGAGTCAAGTGAGGAGTCAGTCACGTATCCATTTTGAGATTTAAACCAACGCCCTGCACCAGGCACCCAGAACTGCGACATCTGGCCCCACTCAGACTCCGGAGTAAACACCCTGCGAGTGTGCACGCCGTGCCGTTGCCACCTGACCTCCCTGCATGAGGGGACAACACCTGGGCATCACCTCGGCCGCCCACACGGCCTGGCACGGCCCTCAGCTTTCACCCTGACTTTTCAAGAGGAGACATAGCTTTTCTTTCTCTGCTTACAGAAGCCGTAGAAAAATGAGTGAGAAGGAAGATCCAATCCACTGGTGCCATGTCTAAAGACAATCCCCCCAGTTCCATGTAGTCTCCCACGTCAACATGGACACACACACACACAGCACCGCTCCACATCCTGCGTTCTGTGAAACCCACCGCTGACTCGATGACTTCCATGCTGCAAGATGCAGCGCTGCCCATCCATCATGCTGTCCCCACGGCGTTGGCCGATTCCCATCTTTCACTGTGAGCAGCTGTGCGTGCTTAGGGCACGTGCCTGTGCCCCGGCCCCGGAGGTCACACGGAAGGCTCTGAGCTTGCTTTACAGACGGCCTTGCTCACGCCACCCCAATCGTCGCCAAGAAAAGAGAAGCCGCCACTCAGAAGCACAAGGCCCCCAGCCCACAGGAGTTTGCTGTAAATTAGGGGGAAGCCCCTTCCATCTCCCGACCGCTGGGAAACACCCACTCACTGTTCTCACTCTTGTTACTTTCAGATCCCTTGATTTTAACGAATCCCTTTTTAAAAAGTAAACCTCGGGCAGGCCGAGTGGCTCAGTTGGTTAAGAGCGCAAGCTCTGAGCAACAGGGTTGCCGGTTCGATTCCCACATGGGCCAGTGAGCTGCACCTGAGCTGAGCTGCCAACAGGCGGCAGGATGGCTCAGCTGGTGAGAGCACGTGCTCCTAACAACGAGGTTGCCGGGTCGACTCCCGCATAGGATGGTGGCTACGCCCATCGCAACTAAGACTAACCATGGCACCTTGAGCTTAGAGGCCACGAGCTGTCCACAGGCGGCCGGATGGCGACTGAACTTGGAGCTGAGCTAGCTGCGCCCTCCGCGACTAAGACTGAAGGACAACTTGGCTGTTCCCCTTCCTAATTCCCCAATAAAACCTTTAAAAAAAAAAGTAAACCTCAAACATACTCCCAAGTTCTGTCTCTCTCCGACCAGAAAAGAGGATAACAATCAGTTCACCGAGGACTTCCTGGGCGGGCTCTCGAACTTTTGACAACATCGCAACTCACAAGCAACACACACTCCAGTGTCCTGAAGACCGCACTGCATTTTCTAGTTCATAAAACATTAAACAGACCTAAAAACAAGGCCTGGGGTCCGCCAGTACACTTACTTTGAAATGTCTTTGTTTTCTTGTTGCCATGGGAACAGCACACTGCCAATGGCCGCCCGGTAGCAGTAGACGCCCAGCAGGCCCAGCGCCATGGCTACTTTCGATGCCCGGGAGCACCTGCTCTGAACCAGCGCAAACACGACGAGCAGGGAAAGTGCGGCCAGGACAGAGAGCGCGGCTCTGTGATCGGCGCTGAAAAGAAACAGGAGACGCCGTGACTCCATGTGACTAGGGCTGTTATGGGTCTACAGCAAGTGCCTTTCTAACAACTGTAGTAAGAGGAGCTGATTGTCCTGAAAAGTGAAAAAGAATTGCTGGTGACTCAAATATAAGCAACAGCTCTTGAAATGTAACAAATGAAGGACTGTTAGCAGGACTGTCATATCCCATTCACCGTGGTCCCCAATGTCAACCCTGCCCTGGCCTTTGGCGCCCCTCTCTGAGGCAGCCCCCCTTTCCCCAAGCACGGTGGCAGAGGCGCTGGGCAAACCTCGTGTTTACCAGTGTGCCCTGCCCACAGGGGACAGCAAGTCCTGGGCGACCCTCTTCCCAGGTGTGGACTTGAGAGGCTCAGGTGCAGCGAGCAGCTGTCACAGGAGAGGGCCACGCCCACCATGAGTGTCACCCGGGTGCTGCTGGGGTGGGGAGGCAGGCTTCCCTCCTGTTTATTCGCTGCTGCTCATTCGCGAAGCCAGACACTCAACAATTCTTAGGTGGGTGAGTGACCACTTTGCAGAGTACACACACGCGTGGATGAAAAGCTCCTTGGAAAAACGCAGAGGGAAGCTGCGGCGGGGTCAGGATGTGGGTCCCGGGGACAGCAGGTGGTGAGTGCGGCCACACTGGGGCTTGGCACTGCCCTGGTCCTTGCTCTCGGAGGTGGTCACGTGGGTGTGCGCTCACTGCTACCTTTAAAGTGTAGGTTTTATGCATGCAGCTGGATTGCTAAGTTTCCCAATTGAAAACCAGAGCAGCAGAGGCGGCGGCTCACACATCCCTCGAGCTGACGCAGGAGGAGCCAGAAGTGCGGGGACAGCTAGTGACACAGGAGGTGGGTGCCGTGTCCAGTGTGCCTGTGGGAGTGGGCACAGCCCTGCCCGGAGGAGGGCAAGGCTGGAGGGGTCGCCCCTGCACACACACCACTGCACCGGCTGGGCTCAGCAAACTCTCCTGCGTTGTTCCCATTTTCCAGAAAAGTCAGAAGTGAGGTCTGTGCTGGGCCACTGTTCACGTGCTCAGGCTCTGTCCACAGCATCTGGCAAGGCCTGAGGCCGGGTGGCGCCCCACCGCCCTCTGCTCCCCCCGACCCCCCACCATGGGACAGGCCAGCACTCTCTCTCCAGGCTGGGCTCGCAGCAGGCTCTCTTGGAATCGCTACCTGTGGTCACTACGGTTGCCAAGTGTGTGCCGACGTCGTCAACACGGGGGGGGGGGGGGACATCTCCCAGAGGAACGAATGATGTGGCCTGAGGAGCGAATCGTTCGGCGGCCTCTGATGTACATTGCCCGGTGTCTCCACGGGACTGTGCTGGCCCGCGGTCCAGGACCCTGGTCTCACCCAGACGGGCTTGTCGCCTCCTTTTGCTTCTGTGCCTTGTCTTTCCTGCAGGAGGGAGCACTTCCTCCTTTTCGAGCGTGTCTGGCACCATCCGGAGCGCCCTCCTGCTGGCAGTCTCTACAGAAGTCCCTCTCAGCACCAGTGACCGCTGTCTGCCACCCGCTCGGGAAACAGGGTTCATTCTGCTCCCCGCTTTCACTTGAGATTTCTCAGCCTTCGCTGACAATTAAAATTTGTAACGTGCCCAAACCTGGACATCCCCTGTCCTGTCCTGTGCCCTCACTCCAGCCCTCCCGACCTGCGACACCCTGCCAGGTCCCCCACCGCTTGTGACAGGCTCTGGCCGTGGGCGAGGGTGCACCCACATGGCCAGCTCTGTGTCTAGCTCTGTGTCACCAAGTGTGCAGAACCTCGGCCGCCGGGTGGGAGGGAGCAAAGAAAGGATGAAGCCAAGGGGCAGAGCTGCCAAGGGCTCTGACCACGCGCTCGCCCAGCCATACCCGCCGCGGGGAGGCAGCGAGTGACTGCATCACACGGTGCTATGCTTATCACTGAAAACTCACAGGTCTTCAAGCAGCACCAATTACTGCGATTCAGCCATAAAACCCAAAGATAGTACGCCAGTCTCAAACAAATTCACCTCCCAACAGCCAGTCACGGCCGCAGTGTGTTTTGGCATCTGTTCAGGTCTCTAACACCATTTCTGTCCTGAGTGTGGAAGACTGGCCTAGACTGAGAAAGGCGGCTGCGTGTGGCCAGCAGCTATGCAGCCTGTCCTCTCACCTGGCGAGCCAGTGCCCCAGGCCAGGGCGGTGGGCCCCCTGCACACCCGTCGTGTTCAGAGCACGCAGCAGCCGGCAGCAGGTGAGCGTCAGCCACGGACTCGCCAGCACCAGCCACCTGTCACGGCCCTGGGGCCCATCCAGGGACGCGGGGCTCCTGTGTGCTTGGCTGAGCTCTAACACGTCACAGCTGGCCTTCCCGTCCCCAACTGGTGCTGTGCTGTCACATCCCCCTTCCGTGTGCCGGCAGCACGGGGGCTCCCCGTCGGCTCCCAGGAAGCAGGTCCGGTAGGCCTCGTAACACAGAGCCAGGCACAGGGTGTTGACAAGGAAGTACCAGGTCTGATGCTCCTCCTCCACGAAGCTGCTGGCGCCCAGGCTCACGGCGTGGCCCACAGTCCCCACGAAGATGAGGAGCTCCACGTCCGACCACCTCGAGTTGGAGTGGCCCGGATTCTGTAAGAAGGAAGATGTGTTTTCTAGGGGAAAACCTAAACCTGCACGGGTCTGGCTGCACAGAGGTGAAGCTCCTGCTCCGAGAACACAGCCCGCTGTGACGCACACCCGTGGCTCCCGGCCAGCACCCAGCCCCCGGCTGTGGTGGGGCAGCCTGCCTGGGGGCCCTCCTGGGGCACAGCCAGCGGGGCACAGCCAGTGGAACACAGAAACATCCTGGACCGCAAGTCCTGGGTGAGGGGATGCCTGGGCCCAGCCCCCGGCCGTGCAGGACCTCCGAGAGCTCGCCCTCCATGTGCCCTTGTCCTGACCTCTGGGAGCCCGGGCCTTCAGGCAGCCACAGCCAGTTCCCACTACTTGACAGCAAAGAACCCCAAGGACAGTTCCCCCAAATCAGACCTCTAATTTCTCCAAGTTTTCCAGAAATCCAGGTTTCCACAGAAATGGTCAATTCTATTGAAATGACAAAGTTGGCCTCGCAGCACAGCCCTGAACCTTACTAACCTGCAGCATTTAACACTGAAGATGACGACTCAGTGACTACCAGCTGTAAATGCTTGATGCCTAATGTCCACTGTGTGCAGCTAGGACCCGAGACACAGGCTCTGAGGACCTGCTGGGTCCCGGGAGTCCAGTGGCCTCCAGGCAGCCCCTGCTCTAAGGGGAGAACCGTGCGCTGAGCCACAGCCCAGGTCGTCCTCAGACACGGGCACCCAGGGAAGGCATCCCACGGCCCCTGCGCTGAGCCTCTGGGTTCTGCGATCCGGGCACTGACTGTACACCTACCCTGTCCTCACAGCCCTGCCACCACCACAGGCTAGTGAGTGAAGGACTCAGAGGCCAAAGGCTCTAAGATTTCTAAAGGAAAATGTCTGTCTTGAAAAGAAAACTGCAGTCCAGGAGCGGGGCCTCCTGGAGTGTGTGACGCGACTCCTGAGGGGCACGCTTGTCTTCAGCTGCAGCTCGGACGCCCCCGTGACACGGTCTAATCCCTGTGCCTCCCCTCAGCTGGCTGCCCACCGCCTGTGAGCAGCAGGTCTGTATGCCCCCGTGTGAGTCACAGGGACCCTGCCTTTCCACATAAGAGGCGAGGCCTGTGAGCCGACAGCACGGCGCTGCGTGTGTGAAGGGGGCGGGCTCTGAGTGCCTCCCCGCGGGCCCTCGGAGCATGGCTCCTTTCCTCGCTTCCAGAGCGCTGTGCCTGGTATGCACCAGGGCTGCACCAACGCCTGGGAGTGGGGGGTTGGCCTCTGCAGGAACCCGCCTTACCTCCCTCAGATGCTGCACACCCACAGATGCCTTGGCCAGAGCAGACAGGACGGCACAGAGCAGTGCCGAGACCAGCATCATCACCCCGCCTGCCGCCAGCCACGGGAGGCTGCAGAAGTAGCACGAGCTCTCGGCCGAGGTGCACACAGTGACATGAACGGCCAGGAGGACCAGGAGCAGCAGGTAGAAGAGCAGCGAGGACACAGGCGACCACAGCGGCACGTCCAGCTCGGCTTTGCTGCCCAGGGCTTGCGGAATGCTGAGCAGCAGCAGGGCGAGGACCTGGATGGGAGACAGCAGCAGGCCCATGCGGCTGGGCTGGGCGGCCCATCAGAGCAGCCCGGCCTGACCTGTCTGCTGCCAGGCGGAGGGGACAGACACGGGCCCCACAAACCCTCTCTAATGACCTGCCAGGACCAATGCCCGACAGCTGGCAGGACTTTTTGCACAGGGACACACAGTGAGAGAGCTAACCCACAGGAAACTCGTACTTTTCCATTTTCAGAAACACTGGTGTTATATGTTTTGTAAACTGCAGCATCTGGCTGAGCTGTCTGATCAGTTTAACGGCCAAGCAGCGCCCCCCACGAGCCCCGTACCTCCAGCACCACGACTGTCCCCACCACCATCGAGTAGATGTCGTACTGCGTCACTTGTCTGCTCAGGGACAGGCTCAGGGTCCGCAGGGCATCCAAGTACTGCCTGCGAACCTTGCTTCCCAGGTTGAAAAGGACTTCAGAATTGTTCTCCTCCAGGTACAGGCGGATCCAATTCCCATGCAACCTTTCTGACATTCTGAACTGTTCAAATCCAGGCTCTAACGAGAAGAGAAGTTACAGATCACTCACACACACACACACACACACACACACACACACACACACACACACGATTTCAAAGCATGCGGTCATTCAGGGCCCAGGGAACCCGACCCCTAACGCAGCATCCGCTGACCTCCTCCCGCCTGGCCTGCCCTCAGCACTAGGCTCTGTGCCCTCTCTCCGCCACCCGCACCTGGCCTCACCCCCTCATCCGCTCCTGTTCTCTTTCTCCCTGGGATCTGGGATGCTCTCCCGGCCTCCAGCAGAGCCATCCCAGGTGGTCTGGCTAAGCCTTGCTGCATCTCGGCCCTACCCACCAGCGGCGTGCCCGCCCAGCCTATCCCATCACAGAGCCTCCCCCGTCAGGCACTGCCTGGCAATCTTGCTGCATAAGCCCTGAGCATGGGCCCAAAGGCCCAGCCCTCCACTGCTGCTGGTGCCAGCTGACCTGCAAGTACCAGGTGCTGGGTGCTGGCACCACTCTTGGCCCCTCATTCCTGTCCTCTCGCCATGGTCAAGGAGACGGGACAGGTGGGCAGGCAACTCAGACACCAACTCATGGGCAGGTAGGTAGAGCTGGGATCTAAACACAGGGAGACTACATCAAGGCTGTGCCTTTACCTGCTACCTCTACCCCCAGGGTCACAGAGACGCAGGGACACCTGAGTCTATACCCCACCAGAGTCACAGAGACATGGGGACAGCTGAGTCTACACCCCACCACAACTAGACCGAAGAACAAAAGGACAGCAACTTGTCTGTTCCACCTCCCCGATTCCCCAATAAAATTTAAAAAAAATAAATAAAATTTTTTTGAAAGAGCTTGATTTAGCTAATTGCTAATGGTGGGAGTCAGGATTCTAAGGAAACAGAAACATAACTGCACAGGCGCACAGATGGACGGTGTGCAAACGTGAAAACGGCAGGAGAGACGCAGGCGCTGTGAAAACGCCCAGCCTGATGACACCAGCACCCGCCTAAGCGATTACCTTTTTCATATGAGGGTACGTTCTCTCGCAACAATTTGCTAAGCTGCACTGCGTTTAAGTGTAGAAACCTCAGCTGCTCTCTTAGTGCCGTTCCTTGCACAACTGGGAACAAGAGGCAGCCCACGCTGTGCTTGGGGATGGGCAGACCGAGCCCGATGGCGAGTGTCGGGGCCAAGTCCGTCTGCTGAACGCGCGCTGGACGTCTGACGTCACCTAGGAAAAAAACAGTCTAAGTGACAGGCTCTGGGACAGGCATGACGGTTGTCATTCTCGAATTTGACCTCCTGCAACTAATGTGACTCAAAGTGCCTGTGTCTTCAAACCATGCCATGTGGATTCTACAGAAGTCGCCTCACTGCTTTCACGTCAGTGAACCGACCGGAAGCCATTCCATGGGGAGCACGGTGCCCCTAGAGCAGCACCTGCTGCGTGGGGGACCTGGCACAGGACATTGTCACGAGGGAGCGTCGAGCATGGGGGCATAGAGGCAGCAGTCAGGGCCCTGAACAAGCGTGAGGCGGGCTCTCTGGCAGCCCTGCCCCTCCACATTCAGACTGACTGGGTGAGCGGGCAAACAGAGTGACTGACGCTGACTCCAGCTAAGCCTAGGTCCCTAAGCACTGTGACCAGCCAGACCTCTGCCTACTGATGGCCTGAGCAACCGGAGCACTTGAAGCCCAACAGTGGTTGGCCATCCGACTGACTCTTGCAAGGACAATGGATGTGACGTCAGGTCTCAGGCTCAGGCCCCTGCTGTGCCACCATCCGGGGGACGCCTGGGACAAAAAACTTAACTTGGTCAGTTTTCTTATCTGTAAAGAGAGCATCCAGCCCCCACCCCCAAAAGCCACAGTGCTGGGGCAGGACGTCACTGAAATGGTGCGGCCAAGTAACTCAACAAATCAGCCAGCAAACAAGAATGACCACAGGCTGTGTGTGTGTGTGTTTGGGGGGCTGGGGGAAATCAGCATCCAGAGCTACTACAGTATATAGAGGGTGCCAAAAACATGTATACACATTTTAAGAAAGGAAAAAACTGTAACAACGAATGACAGTAGCATTCATGTGATTAATGCCATCTTTTAAGCGAATGTCATACTACACATTGCTACCATAATTCAACTTCAAAAAGTAATACGTAGAGAACATCTCTTAAAACGTGTACATTTTTTGGCATCCCTGGTGTCATTTAAAATGTTCAATTTTTATCAAAAACTATGAGCAATTATACAAAGAAACAGGAAAGTATAACTCAAATGGAAACAAAAACAGTGAAGGTCAGAGCTGATAGATTAAGTGTCCCAAGCAGCCATAGGAAATATGGTCAAAGAACTGGCAAAAATCATCGTAAAGTGGTAAAGGAATGTGTGATGACAGTGTCTCATCAAAGAAATTATCAACAGTGTCAGACATTATAAAAAAGAACCAAATGGGACCGGCCGTGTAGCACGTTGGTTAAGAGCTGGCTTGGGACACCAGCTCTGAGCAGCAGGGCCCTGGTTCGGATTCCACATGAGGGCCAGTGGCACTGCGCCCTCTACAGCTAAGATGGTGAACAACAGCTTGATCTGGAGCTGGGCTGCCATGAGTCACCTGCAACGGCGTAGGCTGCAGTGGGGCTGCAGTGGGCTGCCGTGAGCTACTGTGAATGGCCGGCAGCCAGCGTGAGCAGCCAGCAGCCGGCGTGAGCTGCCAAGAGCTGCCGTGAGCGGCCGTCCAGTGGCCGGCGACCGATCTGCCTCACCCAGGAAGAGCGCAATGATAATACCAACATGGGCCAGTGAAACCACGTCCTCCACAACTAGACTGAAGAACAAAGGGACAGCAACTTGTCTGTTCCCCTTCCCCGATTCCCCAATAAAATCTTAAAAAAAAAGAACCAAATGGAAACTCAGAAGTTGAAAAAAATGAACTGAAATGAAAAAGTCACTATAGAAACTCGACAGATTTTGAACTGGCAGAACAATTAGTCAATTTGAAGAAAGGCTGATAAAACTTATGCCAGCTGGACAACAGGTAGACTATTTCTCCAGTTGGATGAGAAACAGTAATGATCTACACATCCAAGAAGCTTAATGAACTCCAAGTTGGATAAACACAACATACACAGACATATCATACTGAAAACGCTGCAAGCTGAAGACAGAGACGTGGAACCCCAATGAGGCTGACAGCTGAGTCCTCACAAGGAACGCGGAGGCCAGAGGCAGCAGAACAGCATATTCACAGTGCTGAAAGGAGAACAGACACTCACCCGAGATTCTTAAATCCAGCAAAACTATTTTTCAAAAGCGAAGGTGAAATACAGATATCCGGGGGGAAAAAGACAATTTGCTGCTGGCAAACCTGCCTTACAAGACATACTAAAGGAAGCGCCTCGGGTTGAGAGCAAGTGACTTCAGATGGTGATGGGTCCATCGAGAAAATGCAAAGGTGATCGTGCGATCATGACAGACTGACACAGGAGGCCAACACAGTGGACTCCCGAACAACGCAGGGGCTGGGGTGCCGAGCTCCTGCGCAGTCAGAGTGTAACTGCACGTAAGTGCAGTGGGGCCTCCGCGCACATGAATTCCCAACCGTGCATCCAAAACGCAGTCGGCCCTGGAACATGGGTCCGAACTGCGAGGGTCCCCTGAAACCGACTGTTCAAACCCGCTGGAGGGCCGGCTGAGTGGCTCAGTTGGTTAAGAGGTCGCTCAAGAGTTTGAGCTCTGAGCAACAGCGGTTCGAGTCAGCCCGAGCTGAGCAGCCGTGAGCTGCCAACAGGTGGCGGGATGGCTCAGCTAAAAANCGTGAGCTGCCAACAGGTGGCGGGATGGCTCAGCTAAAAAAAAAAAAAAAAAAAGTGTGACACAAACCCGCTGGACCTGCACAAACCCTCGTCGTTCAAGGGCTGTCTATGAAACTACATATGTGTAGTTATAGGGTCCGCCTGTACCACGTGGAAGTGCGATGCACGCGACATTAACAGCACAGAGGGGTAGGGGCACAGCTGCACCGGAGGGAAGTCTATGTCCACACGAACGCGCGTCCGCAAAAGTTCACATCAGCACCATCCGCGACAGCCGGAAGGCGGAGGCACATGGCCGCCCACCGACGACTGGAGGAAGGCGCGGGGCACATCCACTCAGGGAAACGTCACTCAGCAACAGCGAGAGCGAAGAGCTGCCGTGTCTGCCTGTGGGTGAGCCTTCAAGCGAATCACACAAGGGTTCCTTTCGTATGAAATGCCTCAAAGAGGCAAACCTAACAAAGGCAGAGAGGCCGGGTGATGGGGTGGGGGGAAGTGGCGGGTGACTACTAAAGGGTGAGAAAATGTCCTAAAATCGATCCTCACGATGGCTGCCCTCAGTCCTGGCTCATGAAAGGAGCAGAATGAGGTCACAGAACATTCTTAAAACAAGCGAATGAAAAAACCCAGAACCCACCGCTGGCACTGAGGTCAGGCACCACCCTGGCCCTTCCTGGCGCTGGATGAGCAGTCAGGCCCCCTGCATGGGGAGGAGACGGGCACATACCCACCCCAGCGATGAGACCTCGGCACTCGGGTTGGACAACAGTCCTGCCACTGAAAACCGCCAGCTCAGCCGTGTCCTGTCCTCCCCAGAGTACAAGCTCCTCGGGGGTGAAGGCTCTGGTGGTGCCCAGTGAGCCTCTGTGGACGAGTGACGTGGGTGGGGCTCTCGCTCAGTGTGGGGAGCCACATGGACCCTGCTTTGGGGTGCAGTGTGGGACAACGGGGTGTAGAGGCCGGTGCTCTGGTGGGTATTGTGCCCACTCACAGCAGGCAGGCTCCAGCGGTGCCTAGGAAAGGCTCAGATTACAAGGGGAATGACTCGGTCTCAGGAGCCCAGATGGACGCTCAGAGGAGCAAGTGTTGGCGCAAGAGAGCAGGCCGTGGGGAGAGCAGGCCGGGGTGCAGTGAGCAACGGGGACTGCGGCTCCAGAGGAAGTGCGAGCTGGGAAGCAGCCTCTCGTGGGGTTTTCACTGCGTCCCAAGTCCAGCCACCGAGAGGTTTTCCGTGTGGGAGGCAGAGGATGGTCTGAAACGTGGGAGCCAGGGAGCGGGGAGATCAAGGACTTGAAAGCCACGTGGACGCTGCCGTGAGCTAGCAGACAGAGAGGGCAGCTGGCGCGCCCTGCCCAAGGGACAGGCAGCTGAGCAGGCAGTCTGGAGCCTGGAGAAGAGGAGGGATCAATTTGAGAGGGGTGAGCTTGTTCATGGCACGAAAAGCATGGACCCGGCCCAGATCACCTCGGGGGTGAGCGCAGAGGACGACGACGAGGGGAATCCAGAGGAAAGGCCGGGCTAGGGTGTGAAGTCAGCAGGAAGGGCCAGAGGGCAAAGCCAGGGGAGGAGGAAGCCGGACAAAAGGCATGTCTCAAATTAGGGCCAGCAGGGCCAGGTGACACCAAGGGTCATGAGAGGAAGCCACAGTGTCCAACAAGAAAACAGCCAGCGAGCGGCCAGAGAGCATGCGGTCAAGTCAGTACCGCGAGGAGGACAAGGTCAGCTTCAAGCACAGGGCGGCCAGGCCGCGGGTCTGTGTGACAGCTGGGCTGTGAGCCCCGCTCCGCTGGTCCTGCGACTCGTGTTGACACCGCCATGTAATGTACGGTTTCAGGTCATGGGTGTTTAGACAGTTTAAGTATTTATGTTTCTCTCAGTTCATACATGCAGTTCAGATGTCTCTAAGCACCTGGAAATGTTTAATTAGTTCCAGATATCCGGGCAGTGACAGTCACACAACGGAATTCCCACTCAGGGTGTTTGTATTTTAAGAATCTGGGCAAAAAGTCTAAACTCCCAATTCCGACTGCCCCTGGCCCCATTCGTTTTCATTCTCACAATGCCCAGAACATTTCAAACTTAGCTTCCAAAAATGGTTTTTACAATGAAAACCATGCTGCAGAAAACAGAAATAAAGTGCAGCTCCAACGTGTTAAAGACGCCTAAATTCTCACCGGGTTTCCTCTCAAACGCAGAGCTGATTAAGAGTAGAGGGGTATTTACTTCCTCTGGGGAAGAGGCCCCGTGACCGCCCGTCTCCGACATGCCATGGTCCCCACAGAGAACCAGCAAAGTGGGTAAGCGAGTCTTCTTCTCCTGTAAGGCAAAAGGGAGGCACGTCAGCTGCACTCAGGCTAAGAACACATGACCCAGCTCACAAAGCAACTTCAGGTTTGGGCTTTACTTCACAAACACGGCTCTTTCGAGGTGGGTTAGTTTTTCTTGTAACCTGTGAGCCTGAAGTCAGACCAAAGGGTCAAAGTCAGAAGTCATCTATGAAGCAGACGGAATGACCTGGAGGTCACGCAGCGCAGCAGGCTCTCAGGGCAGAGGGTTTGGGTTCGGTGCCCGCCTTTGCCACTCCTAAGCTATGGCAGCTCGGGTCCGCGTCTCAGTCGGGGTGAGTGTCCTGTGTGCCCTGGGGCTCCAGGCAAGGGACGTGCCTGGCAGGCTCCGGCCCGCCCTCCCCTCCAGGCTCTCTCGCCTCGCACCTGACTCTTCCGACCATGCGGCTTCAGTGACAGCCTCTCTCAGACGCTGTCCCCTCCTGCCCTACGTCTTCTTATGCCACCAGCACTTTCAAGGCTACGTAAGTCCTCCTTTATGTTTCGTGTCTGCTCTGGCCTCCTGGCTAGTGGGTGAGCTCCACAAACACCCAGGCAGGAACAGCGGTGTGGCTGGGTGAGCGGGCGGGGGTGGGGTCGTCACAGCCACCATTCTGCAGGGCTGCTGGGGAGACGGAGTCAGCCCAGGTGAGCGTCACGATGGTGCCTGGCATGCGGATGTGCGGTGTGCGAAGGCTGCCCGGGTGTGACGCTCACCGCGGCCACTGGGGGCGTCTCAGCAGCCATGTGTCCTCACCTGTGCCAGCAGCGCGGCGTGGGTCTTCATCAGGACGCCGTCCATCTCGCTGAGCTTGTGCCCGATCAGGGGGCTGCTGGGCCCGGAAATGTGGCCAATGTGGTCCAGCCCCAGGTAGTGGAGGATCAGCACGTCCCAGTCCTCTCTCTGTAACACTGTGTCCAGGTGTCGCGTGACATTGTCATCCACCTTTAAGGGGGAAGTCGGTCAGAACAGCTCCCCGGAGTTCCCTTGGTCTTCACTCCCCAAGGAAAATTTATATGTTCATTATAAGTTACAGGGTTTATTTTAAGTAACGGGACTCATGGGAGTTGGAAAAGACCAGGACAAAAATAGAAAGTGTCATAAAAAATGTAAGCCGACATCATTAGCATTAGGTTCAGCATTCACGAATACTGTTTCTATGTCTCCAGGTTACGGACAGAACATACTATGCAGCCCAATTAAATGAACAAGGTTTGTGCTGGGGCTTCACTGAGCAAATGACCAGGTTCAGCAGGTGCTAAGTTATGACAACGTGGCTCAGGGCTCAGGGCAGCCAGCTAAGTCTGAACAGTGCCCTGCCCAGGTGACCAGAGGGGTGAAGCGGGGGGCATGTCTGTGTGCCCCACAACAAGGCTGTTCTGGGAAGGAGTAGACACAGCACCCAGGGATGGGCTGTCGAGAAGCCCTCACAGAGCCCTCGGCCAGGTCGGCCCTGACCCCCCGGCTGGCCCACATCCCTTCCACTGGGAAATCTCCGACAGCGTCTGAGTGACTGCACACCAGGCGGGGAGCCCAGCGTCTGCGCAGGCCAGCTGTAGACAGGGTGTCAACGCGGGCAGGCAGCCGGCACCTCCCCGGGCCCATCGCACAGGTGTGGGGGCAGCAGGGCCATCCACGCCACGCCACACTCAGACAGGCGCCGTGCCACTGTCCGTGGGTGTCCTCTGCCCCACGGCCCTACTCCCCGAGGCCCAGGCTCCACCCAGCTCACCACGTGCCCTCATGTCTCGCCACACGCAGGGGGATCCAGCCTCAGGGACCCCGGCAGCCCATGCAGGGTGTGGGTTCTACCTCAGACAAATGCTGCCATCGTTCTGTCCACTTGGCAACTCCCCACTCCCCGGCCCAAACTCAACCTGCTGTCCCCTTGCTGGGAGCCTTCCCTGACCCTCTGTGTCCTGCCCGCCAGTGCTCAGCTGCTCTAGGCTTTGCGCTCACATCCGCACCAGGGTTCATGTTGCTGGGTTATAACTGATTATGTGAATGGACAATGTCCGCAATGTCCCCGACTACTCCCAATATGCCCATAACAGCCACACACAGAGTCACGTTGCTACCAGGCTCTACCTAGTATGACGTACGTTCTCACTGTCAAAACTGACCTCTGTATAATCTGACACAAAAAAGGAGGTTGTTCCATCGTATTCCACAAAATGCTTTGGGAATAACTTCACCCATGTGTCATCTCCATAGAAGATGATTCTTTTCCCCGCTGCCTTAGCCCGTCTGAGCACGTTGTCTTCCCTCACGGCCGGAGAGTTGAGGTTCCTGATGACATCGACGAAGCCGGGGAGGCCCCCTGTCATCAGCGCCTGCAGGAGGAAGCACCACGGGTCAGACCACGGAATCCACAGTGTGGTGTGGGCGGGGTGCTGGAGACCATGTGACGGATGCACGAGGGCAGCCCCGACACTGGAGGCCGGGTCAGCATCAGGACAACGCGGGGAAAGTTGTACAGTCTGGGCAAACACAGGAAACTCAACAGTGAGGACCCGAGCAGATTTCAGCCAGGGAGGGGACAGAGAAGGGGGCTGTGGGGCAGCCACGTGACGGTGGTGCCAGGTCAGCCGCGGTCACCAGGGAGGAGCGATGCCAAGCCTGCCGTGTGCAGAGAACACAGACTCTTCATTCAAGCCTGCCGGCAGGCTGGTACCTAAACTTCAGACCAGCTCCGGGGGACCAGCAAACTCCACCTACTGACCTGACAACCCAGACTCACTCAGTGTCCACCCTCGAGCGCGAGGAAAGCTTCTCACACCCCTGGGGAGGGAGGCGCTCTCTGAGCATGGACTCAGGAACTCCCACAGCAAAACGGCCCAGGGGTGCTGATGGGGCCCCCCATGCGGCACCCTAAGTGCTGGAAGAAGAGGGTGACTGTCACGTTCCTCACACCTTTCGGACAGAGGGTGGAGTCAACAACCTCCCTCATTCTAGCACGGAGTCTAAGAGGCCACACTGATGGGTCGTGGTCTCCGTCCGCGATCGGGCTTTTCCAACAACCCCCAACGCTAGTGTCCAGGGACCTATGCGATGAAAATAAACAGGAACCTCAATCATGCCACAGGTGTAATTTCCTCATTAGCAAATAAATGCAAATGTGAATTAACTTCTGGATATGAGTGAGGAGCTCCACTAATCCTCTCCCCCAAAAGCAACGATAAAACTGGGTAAAACCGTCCAAAGCAACCATTTCGGGACTTTAGAAACTCACCAAGGACATACAGCAAATGAGAAGTTCTTACTCGGGACAAACTACTGCGTCTCGGGGGCACTGCGCATGCCTGGCTGTCTTACCAGGGCTGCTGCGCTCACCACCCCCACCCCACCCCCAGCTCCGGCCGCCGCGGCCACGGGACCAGCTGGGCCCACCTGGGCGCAAGTGCCCTGTGCGGACTGAGAGCAGGAAGGCCTGAGGCTCGGATGCCGGTTGTGGTAGGAAAACAGCCCCAAGTGTAAAGTGGTCTGGGAGTGAGACAGCTGCTCCCACACACGCCTGGAACCCGGGAGGCTACGTGCTCATACAGGGCTGGTTTCCTCTCCGGCGAGAAGGTCGCCTCTCCCTTCTGGCTGAGCAGAAGGCCCTGCTCAAATGGAACGCAGAGGCAGGACCGACTTGTAAGCCCTGAGCACTGAGCGTGTACCCCAGCACATGTGCCCCTGCAAAGGGTGGGCACCTCAGCGCACGTGTCGAAGCTCAGCCTCCTACCAATCGCTAGCCGGGGTGACCCTCGGGAAGACCAGCCTGAAAATAACAAGACTTAAAAAAATAACCTATCAGCGATATCAGCTACAGCACACTCAGGAGACAGGCTGTCAGGGCTAGTTCAGTCACTACACAAACACCCACCACTCCTGAGCGGGGCTCGGAATCACGAGTGGGGGGGGGTACGGATAGAAACATCTGTCCTGTCTCACCCACCTGCACACAGGAAAATGTGCTGTACAAAAGTTCTATCTCTAGAAAGTTACTATGCAAAATGCGNGGCGGGGCACGGATAGAAACATCTGTCCTGTCTCACCCACCTGCACACAGGAAAATGTGCTGTACAAAAGTTCTATCTCTAGAAAGTTACTATGCAAAATGCGAGCCTCTTACCCCAATTTTCCTTAAAGGTAACCAGGTACTCTCGGTGAGTATCCTTTCCTACTTTTTTCTGCATGTGCATAATCACAAACATACATTTTTTTACCAAAATAGTATCAAACTATATAAACAACTCTACAACTTGCTTATGTTTTCCTATTAAAAACATATCATCGACCTCTTCCCCCGGAAAACAGGTACTTCATCTGTTTTTAACAGCTATAAAGTAGTGTTTGGATGTTCAATATATTGCATGAAGACTGTTTTCATATTTAAAAGCTTCCAGTGGAAGCGCCATTTGACCTGAGACCTGAAGGTTGAAGCTATCCAGGTGAGATGAGGTGAGGCTCTCCAGGGTAGACACAGAACTGCAAAGGCTGCAAGGCAGAGGGGGAAACAGCACACTTGGGAGCTAGCTGTGTGATCATATGGACGAAAGGCTTAGAAAGAGGGACAGCAGCCCAAGCGAGGGTGGGGAGGTGAGCGGGCAGAAGTCCCCAGCCTTGACTGGGCCTGCAGGCAGAGCATGGGCCCCCCCAGGGTATGAAGTAGCATGAGCTGACCTGCGCTGGGACAGGGTCTGGAGACCACAGCAGAGGGGACTAGGGTGGTGGCAGCAGGGGTGCTGGCTCGGGGCCGTCACATTCACACCCACAGTGTTCAGACAGCTGTCCACCTCATTGCTTGTGAAGAGGAGGTTATCATCAGCCTTTACATGTGTCCATGATGGACAGGAGCTGGCCCCACAGGCTGTTTGAGCGTGCCTTGCTATGATTTCTAGGCAGGCATCTTTCCATATCTTTCGTGGCCATTTCAATGTCTTCCTTTGTGGATTTCTTTATGTCCTTAGTCCAGTTCCCACTGGACCGGCCGCATCAGCATTTGTGTGAGTGTCTTTTATCCATTCCCACTCCCCCATTTAGGTACTAATCAACTCGTGGCGGCTGGCCCGCCATACCTGGCGCCCGAACAGGGACCTGAATACAAAAGTAACAGTAAGAAACGCCGCGTGGCAAGGGCCCGGCTCGAAGAGGAGCTTATTTCAGTGAATACGCGGTGAGTAAGACACATAAAAAAAAATGGGTCACGCGAGCAGCAAAGACCTGTATGTCAGAGGACTTAAAAAATTACTTGCCACCCGTGGCAGTCGGGTAAACAGAAAACAACTAGACAAATTTTTAGAATTTGTAAAAGAAGTCTGTCCATGGTTTCCAAAAAAAGACACTGTCAGTCTGGAAACTTGGGAGAAAGTGGGAGAGCAGTTACAAGATTATTATGCTGCCCACGGACCTCAGCAGGTCCCTGTGGAAACATTCGGGTTATGGACTTTGATCAGGGATTGCTTAGATCTTAAGCGTGAGGGCTGCAAGCTAGAGAAAGTGAAACAAGCTGGAAATGAGGAAATTCTTCCACCTGCCGTTCTCCGGCGGAGAGAGAGGAGGAGGAGGGAGCTAAACACACAGAAGGACTTTCTAAGGTTAACAAAGAGCCTGTTTATCAGGAACCTCTGGTCGAGGACTGGGAAGATTTAGACCCTCAGGATCAGAAAAAATTAGAGGATGAGACAGCCAAATATGATAGGGACAAATACCCTCCGTTGGTGGCTATGGCTCAAGGAGGTGGGCAACCTGCAGGCACTACACTTTCTTTTGCAGATCAGCTAAAGAAGATTCAGGGACAGTTAATAGAACTTAAAGTTGCTGTGGATGGAGGAAATTGTCCTCGGGGTCCCCAGATTCCTTTTAGAGATCAATAAAATCCTCAGGGTAAAGATCCCCCCACAGTTAATCCCTGTACACCACCTCCTGAGGAGCCCAGTATGTGGGGTCCTCCGCTGCAGCCTCCGGTTTCGGACATGCCTACTAAGCCTCCGCCAGGTTATGTTAAGCCAGGGTCGGACTCTGTTGTGCGCTCCCCTCTTCAAATGGCTTGTGAAGAAGCTCACAAGCAGGGGGAATCCACGGATCAATTTAGAATATATCCTATCTTTGAAAGGCTTGACCAGGCAGGGAACATGGTTAGAGAATGGAGGCCTTTTCAATGGAAGCAATTAAAGGAATTAAAGGAGGCTTGCGCGCAATACGGTCCTATCGCCCCTTTCACCATGGCAATTTTGGATGCCCTGTCTAGTGAAGCTACCCCTACAGAGGATTGGAAGCATATTGCTCATGCTTGCCTTTCCGGGGGTGACTATCTCTTATGGAAATCAGAGTTCTATGAAAATTGCAAAAAGAAAGCTAATCAAAATGCCCAAAGGCAAATTCCTATTACTTTTGACATGCTGGCAGGAAAAGGCATATATGCTGAATTAAGAAACCAGATGGACTTTGCAGTGGGAGTTTACGCTCAAACCACTGCAGCGGCAAAAGACGCTTGGCGAATGTTGCCTGATGCTTCCCGCAAGGAAAAACATGTTTCTCAGATAAGGCAGGGAGCAGATGAGCCTTTTCAGGAATTTGTGTCTCGCCTCAACACAGCCGCAGGGCGGGTTTTTGGGCCATCGGTTGCCACTCAGTCTTTTATAACGCAGCTTGCTTATGAAAATGCTAATTCTGCCTGTCAAGCGGTCATTAGACCATTTAAAAAGAAAGGGACATTATCTGACTATATTCGCTTGTGTACTGATGTGGGACCCTCCTTTACCCAAAACATAGCCATAGCAACAGCTATACAAGGAAAGCTATAAAAAAAATAATGTATCAACAGACAAGATTCAATATAGGGAGTCGCTCTGGGGCTTGTTTTACTTGTGGAAAATTGGGACATCGAGCTGCCCAATGCCCTCGTAAAGGAGAGTCTGAGAACTCGACCGCTCCTGCAAAAAAGCCTCCAGACATATGTCCTAAATGTAGGAGAGGAAAACATTGGGCCAATGAATGCAAATCCAAGACAGATAAAGAAGGGAGACCTGTCCAGGGAAACTGGGTGAGGGGCCAGCCCCTGGCCCCGAGTCAACAATGTTATGGGGCACTGCAGATCCCAGAGCAGATGCAGGGATAGAGAGGGAACGAGCCTCTGAGAGGAAATACATCACGGACTTATTCCAGGCCACCTCAGGCAGCGCAGGATTGGACCTGTGTTCCACCACCGACACCGTACTAACTCCCGAGATGGGAATGCAAGCATTGCCCACAGGGATCTTTGGGCCACTACCACCAGGAACTGTAGTAGGTTTGTTGTTAGGAAGAAGTAGCACCACTATGAAGGGGATTCAAGTTTCCCCGGGAG